CTGGAAGGAGAGTAGCATCCTGGAAAACGGGTACGAAGGGCCTGGGAACTGCTTCATCCAACCTCTTGCACCAGGAGGAAGACCTCACAGGGGGGAGTTGCCTCTCTCTGAGGGATATGAAGAAACAAGCTGCTGCTAGAAGCAAGCCTTGCTGTGGAGAGAGCATTGCTTTCCCAGCGAGGGGGTGATGCACAGCCCAGCCCATGGTGGGATAAAACGTCAGATCCTTGGGGCAACCGCTCAAGCTGAGACAGGACTCCCACAAATGCCTGTGAAGTGCCACGGAGAAGTGCTGGGGAGGGGAGGAATTACAGCTGTCAAAATGGCTGTTCAGCTGCAGCCTTTGAAAACCAAATGTTTAGAGAGAATTTGGTGTATTTGTCATTGAAATGGTGTGAGCCAGCCGCTGGACAGCAAGGAGCAGGTGGCTGAAAGAGCCGCAGCTCAGCCAGCAGGACAAGCGACATCTCCCCTCAGCTCAGCCGCGGTCTGATATCATGTCCAGACCGGTCCCCCTGATGGAAGGGGAGGTTCACAGAGCAGAGTGGTCCTGGAGGAGGGCGTTAAGATAGTGGGGGACTAATGTACATGGCAGACGAGGAGGGTGAGCGATGGGTTGGGTCAGCCTGGAGAGGGGAAGGTGAAGAGAGGATCTACTTACTGTCTGCAACTACCCAAAGGAGGCTATAGAGGAGATGGAGTGGGTGCTCCTCAGACGTGCACCAGGGAAGGACAAGAGGCAACAGAGACCAGCTGAAACGAGGGAAAGGCCAATTTGAGGCATGGACAGTGGTCATCCCCGGGGGAAGTGGTGCAGCACTGGGGCAGGGTGGGCAGGCGAGGGCTCACCATCCTTGGCCTCCATCCAGCGGAGCGATGGCCCTGAGCAACATGATTGGGCCTCAGCGTTAGCCCTGCCCTGCACTGGGGCTGGACTGTGAGCTCCAGAAGTGCCTCCCAGTTGACACCTTCCCATGGTTTCTGGTCCAATAGGGTGTGAGTCTACAGCAGAACTGGGGGTGCACTCCTGACAGCTGGAGGAGGCTGGGCTGGCCGCTCCAGCGAGGCTGTGCAGCACCAGCACCCGTCTGCAGAACCTGGCTGGGAGGAAAGGGGTGGAATGGGAGATGGTGCAGCAAAGTATCAAATCAGGTAAGACTAAAAGCAGGGATGTGCTAAGGGTCTTTAAACTCAGTTTTCCCCCTCTGATACCTTCCTCCAACTGTAGCTTACAAGTCTGCCAAAAATGCATTAGCAAAGCTGCCCTAGGTTTCCAAAGGGAGAAAAGAAAGGCCTGAGCAGCAGCTAGCCAGCGGAGCCATCAGCTCCAGAGCCAGACCCCAGTCCCACCTGGGGAGAGGCACATCCAGCGCTGCGTTGCAGGTCCAGGCTCATCTGAGCCTGATCCCTGGTCAGTGATTGTCGTCCTTTTTAGGGTGCTGGCAAGCTGCAGAGCCCGACAGAGGGGGAGAGCATCTAAGGATGGAAGGAACTCCAAGAGAGAAGAACTGAGCATAAAGTTTGGAGAACACCTAATATCAACACTTCCCTGGTTGGGTCCCATGGTCTGCAGCTACCCTGCGTCCACGGCAGCCCAAGAACTGCTCCCGCGGGTGCTGAGCAAGACCTAATCTTGCAGCAAGGCAGCCAGGACTCATTGCTAGTGCTCTGGACTCCAGGGTGGCCATCAGTGGTGGCACTAATGCTTCGTAGCTGATGTGGATCCTCCCCAGTGAGGACTACCATCCAATGGCAGTTATGGTTTGCCATGGTGCTGGGCTTGGAGCTGGTGTGGGCATTGCCATGCACAGTGCAGGAGGGAACCGAGGCCCTGAGAGAGCCCAAGGGGTAGGGGGATCTGGAGTGAAGGATCCCTGGCTGCAGTGTAATGGCCAGCCCTGGCTGTTGTACAGCCACTGTGGTCCGCTCCATTGGCCAAAGCACCTGCACCCCCTGCCTCTCTCCCCTCTGCCTGGGGAGCACCAGAGCTCAGGAGCACACAGAGGCTGTGGTACATCTCGGGAGTCAAGAGCTTGCATACCCTGGGGTGCAGCAGTGTCAGCTCCTCCAGCCCCAGTCTGGAAGGAGCAGAGTGCAGCAAGTGTGGAGCTGGGAGAGCAAAAGAGAGTGAGGCCACTAGTGCCTCAGTGTCCCCTGTGCGTGGCGCCCAGGGGTGACTTGCCTGACCAGGATGTATGACCCTCAGCTGGGCCACCCTATGCCGAAGCTCACCCCACTCCCACAGAGTGCCAGCTTCACCAGCACTAGGGAGGAGAGCAGCTCCACGCAGTCTGGGATGTGGCGATGGGCCAAATGTACACAGCTATGTAGCAACTAGAACCCCTGGAGTGCTGTCCCAGCACCCTGCGTCACCAGGGCTGCGACCACATATTCCATCGTGTTGAGCATTCAAGGACATCAAGGCATACCTGAGAGGTCAGCAACTGAATGAGAACCCACGTGGAGCACGGCAATGGGCAACTCTTTGGGGCTGTTTTGCTGAGGTTTTGTTTTCATGAGGCATGAGTAGGATATCAAAAAAACATTCCAGGTTTTCACCTGCACATTGGGAAAGCTATGCACGGATGCTAGTAGAGCAAGTCACCCTGATGCTGTGCTTGAGAAAACTCAAACCTTGGGGCCTTTGCAAAAGAGGAGAGCTGCTTCCAAGAATGGGGACCAAGGTGCTAAGTGACACAGTGAAGGCTCTCCTGGTGTTACCGAGGAGCTGTGGGATGAGCAGGTCCCTAGCACCCTGAGTGAGGGTGATTTGTGTGGCTGGGGGGACAATGCAGTCACCCATCTGATTCTGCAAGAGAGAAGGGGGAAGCTTTCCAGAGGCCCTGGACAAAGCCTTGTGCAGCCGTCCAGCCCTGGGTGCTGCAGCATGTCCTGGAATAACTGTGGGACATGTGAGCAGAGTCAAGGACAGGAAGGCTCTGGGCTGGATTGCCAAAGTTGGAACGTTGGCTGCCCACAGGGTTATCGCTGCTCTACAGAGGGTGCAGGACCTGGCCGTGAGGGTGTTACAGCCGAGTACAGTCGTTCCAGATCTCATGGGAAGGTGGAGGAGGGTTAAGCCACACGTGAAGAGAGGAGGAACTTCTCATCTGGTTCCACGGCCAACAACCCAGCATCAGCTCTTTCTCCCTGAAAATTCCCAGGGTGGTGGTTTTTGAGCCGATTGCACATCACAGCCCAATGGACAAGAATACGAGCATGCTCTCAGCTGGCAATTAGCAACAGGTTCCCAGAGGGGCTGAGCCAGCCTTGTGCCTTCCAAGAGCTGGGGGGTGTCTGTGAGATGCGTGCCTGTGAGAGGGATCTTGTACTCACCTGTACTCCAGGCTCATGCACTCAAAGAGCCGAGTGAGGGTTGGGTCGATGCTCCGGGGATCCGCTGGTTCCAGCTCGGTGCGGTGGTGGCGCCGGCGGGGCAGCGAGTCGCTGTGGGGGGATGACACCATGAAGTGGCCACTGTGGATGACCTGGGAAGGGTTCTGTGCCCCGGTGCCGGATCCTGTGTCACCTGCAGTCGCATCCTCAGAGTCTGAGTCGGAGTCAGAGACAGGGCATGGCCCAGCTGGGGGCTCTGGGAAGGGTCCTGGGAGCCCCACCTGAGCTCCTGCCATCGCCTGGTGCCTGCTGGGGAGCCCTTGCCCAGCGTCCTGGCTTTGCCAGAGCCCTACAGGTGCCACGTTGTCATCGAGCACATGCCATTGGGCTCCCCAGCACTGAACACCCACAACCGCTCTGGACCAGGCTGTCTCTTCCACGCTCCAAGGTTCAGCTTTCAGTTTGCCGAGGCGCTCGCTGTCAGCCCTATTTATAGTGGTGGCAGCTGATCCCGCCCATGGCACGCCGTCAGCCAGGCCACCGGCACCCTGCCACCGGCCAAAAGACACCAACACCCCC